ACTCTCTTTAACAAGAACCACAGACATCTGATTGATGTTATCAGTTAATGTTACTTCTCTCTCCTAAAGGCTCAACTAATAAAGTTTGGGGTATGTGATGTGTATATAACTATTTCTGATTTTTAGATATTAAAGTGGCTGACCCTGTGGTATCATTCTGTGAAACAGTTGTAGAGACATCCTCTTTAAAATGTTTTGCTGAAACTCCCAACAAAAAGTAAGAAAATTTTTCGATTCACAACTCGCCATAATAATGATGAATGTGGACAGGGTGTAGCACAGTTGGATAGAGTGTTGAAATCTTAACATGATGTCATTTCCTTGGTTACATCCTACAAATGGTCATGGGTTCTAATTTGGTCGGCATGTGAAAGTGGTGACCTTGAATAAGTCATCTTTCCTCATTATTCCAGTCAACCCAGCTGTAAATGGGTACGGATAATCTAGGAAAGATCAATAACAAGAGGTTTGACCAAGGATCAGCTGGTAGAAAGGATCCTTGTGAACCTAAGGTGTTATTCTTGTAAAATCAATACCAAGAGGTTTGGCCAAGGACCAGCTGGCAGAAAGGATCCTTGTGAACCGAAGTTGTTATCCTTGTAAAATCATTACCAAGAGGTTTGACCAAAGACCAGCTAGTAGAAAGGATCCTTGTGAACCTAAGTTGTTATCCTTGTAAAATCATTACCAAGAGGTTTGACCAAGGACCGGCTGGTAGGAAGGATCCTTAATTGTGAACCTAAGTTATTATCCTTGTAAAATCCATACCAAGAGGTTTGACCAAGGACCGGCTGGTAGTAAGGATCCTTGTGAACCTAAGTTGTTATCCTTGTAAAATCAATACCACGAGGTTTGACCAAGGACCGTCTGGTAGGAAGGATCCTTGTGAACCTAAGTTGTTATCCTTGTAAAATCATTACCAAGAGGTTTGACCAAAGACCAGCTGGCACAAAGGATCCTTGTGAACCTAAGTTGTTATCCTTGTAAAATCATTACCAAGAGGTTTGACCAAGGATCAGCTGGTAGAAAGGATCCTTGTGAACCTAAGTTGTTATCCTTGTAAAATCATTACCAAGAGGTTTGGTCAAGGATCAGCTGGTAGAAAGGATCCTTGTGAACCTAAGTTATTATCCTTGTAAAATCAATACCAAGAGGTTTGACCAAGGACCGGCTGGTAGGAAGGATCCATGTGAACCTAAGTTGTTATCCTTGTAAAAACAATACCAAGAGGTTTGACCAAGAACCAGCTGGTAGAGAGGACCCTTGTGAACCTAAGTTATTATCCTTGTAAAATCATTACCAAAAGGTTTGACCAAGGACCAGCTGGTAGAAAGGATCCTTGTGAACCTAAGTTATTATCCTTGTAAAATCAATACCAAGAGGTTTGGCCAAAGACCAGCTGGTAGAAAGGATCCTTGTGAACCTAAGTTGTTATCCTTGTAAAATCATTACCAAGAGGTTTGGCCAAGGACCAGCTGGTAGAAAGGATCCTTGTGAATCTAAGTTGTTATCCTTGTAAAATCAATACCAAGAGGTTTGACCAAGGACCAGCTGGTAGAAAGGATCCTTGTTAATCTAAGTTATTATCCTTGTAAAATCATTACCAAGAGGTTTGACCAAGGATCAGCTGGTAGAAAGGATCCTTGTGAATCTAAGTTGTTATCCTTGTAAAATCAATACCAAGAGGTTTGGCCAAGGACCAGCTGGTAGAAAGGATCCTTGTGAATCTAAGTTGTTATCCTTGTAAAATCATTACCAAGAGGTTTGACCAAGGAACAGCTGGTAGAAAGGATCCTTGTGAACCTAAGTTGATGTCCTTGTAAAATCAATACCAAGAGGTTTGACCAAGCACCAGCTGGTAGAAAGGATCCTTGTGAACCTAAGTTGTTATCCTTGTAAAATCATTATCAAGAGGTTTGACCAAGGACCAGCTGGTAGAAAGGATCCTTGTGAACCTAAGTTGTTATCCTTGTAAAATCAATACCAAACTATATTTTGCTTTCAGAAACAAACTAACAATGATAGCCGAACCACTCGAGAAAGGACTGGCCGAGGACATAGAAAATGAAGTAGTACAGATCACATGGCCAAGAAAGAAGTTGGGAGAATTTTTTCAGACCAAGTACGATTGGGATTTGTTGGCTGCCAGATCTATTTGGGCGTTTGGACCTGACGCGACGGGACCTAATATTTTAGTTGATGATACTCTACCATCAGAAGTTGATAAAACGTTACTTAGTGCTGTCAAAGATAGTATTGTACAAGGTTTTCAGTGGGCCACACGAGAAGGCCCCTTATGTGATGAACGTAAGTAAATTTGGAAAGGGCGTGGTAGCTTGGCGGGGAAAGGCAGGGGGAGTAATTAAAAGTTGAAAAAAGTTTTGTTAAATTTTGTAACCAGATGATCAAAAAAAAATTCCCTCATTGCATACTGCATGGTGTTGCTCGTTTCATTAGCCCATATGATGCAGAAAAGTAGGATGTAAAACTCCATTCATTTCATTTTTTGCTACAGACTTTGGATGTTAAAAAAAGCAGTTGGCAAAATTTCCCTCATTGCAAACTGCCTTGTCCATCCACATTTTTTGCATACCAGGGACAAAAAAACCATGAAAATCTTTCAGCAAAACAACGTAAAAGTTCCTTTTAAAAAAATGAAAATGCTATTTTCGAGCCAAAATGCAGGAAAAATGTAAATTAATATAACTGTTATGTTTTCAGCTATCAGAAACGTAAAATTTAAGATATTGGATGCCATGATTGCTGGTGAACCTATACACAGGGGCGGAGGGCAGATTATACCCACCGCTAGACGTGTAGCTTATTCTGCCTTTCTTATGGTAAGTTTTCTTTTAAAGTGACTGCGTCCTTTTTTTACCAATCATACCTTAGTCTCAGAAACAGGAATTTTTTTAGCTAAGCCAATCAGTAATAGTGTTCACAGCTCACTGTCAAAATTTTAAGCCTTCAAATCCATGTGTGTATCAAGGGCAATAACTCTGTCAATATTTGTCGAATCATATCCTAATTCGAACTAGGCCAAATTCTTGTGGATATAAAACCTACACACAAAAATTTTACAAAAGTTGAAAAAAATTGTGGCCTCTATTGTCATCACAGTATTATTATAATCATATTTTTGGTATATCAAGGGCTACAACTCCATAAGTAATTGTTGAATTTTACCCAAATTCGAACTCATCCAAGATCTTGTGAATATAAAGCTAATTTCCAGAATCCTAAATGGCATTGATTATGGCGCCAATCAAAGACTCAAATCCTGAAACTTTCATTTTCAGGCAACTCCAAGAATGATGGAACCATACTATTTTGTAGAAGTGATGGCACCGGCAGATTGTGTATCAGCTGTTTATACGGTACTAGCTAAACGAAGGTAAGGGAATTTTTTTCTGAGCGCACGAAAATTTCAGCTGTAAGCCATCGATGATTTATCTCATACTTATTATCGAAGAATATAGCTTTAAACTTGGAAATTTTACGTGTTTTTGGTCTATAATTCAAAATTTTTGGAAAAACCTTGCATAAGCTTTAGGACAGCATGGTTGAATTGTCTTTTTGTCGGTAATATTATTCAGTATCACCTCAAAAAGTTCAGAAGAAGTGTATGACTGATGGTTGAATATTTCATACTGGTAATTGTTACTGTACTGCTAAATATTTTTATGTAAAATCAAAGCTGCCAGTCGGCGTATATTACCTTGCCTGGCAAGCTATCTTACTAAACACTCTAGAAGGCCAAATTCTTGACAGATTTTGACAAAACTTGATAATATTGTTCAGTATCGCCTGAAAAAGTTCAAAAGAAGTGTATGACTGAAGGTTGAATATTTCATACTGGTAATTGTTACTGTACAGCCAGATATTTTTATTCAAATTCAAAGCTGCCAGTGGGCGTATATTACTTTGCCTGGCAAGCTATCTTTTATCTTGAATTCAAAAAGTACAAAAGAAGTGTAAGACTGAAGCTATCTTTCTATTTTAGAGGTCACGTGACACAAGATGCTCCAGTCCCAGGTTCACCATTATATACGATTAAAGCTTTCATCCCAGCCATTGATTCGTTTGGTTTCGAAACTGATCTCCGTACCCATACACAGGGCCAGGCTTTCTGTCTCTCTGTCTTCCATCATTGGCAGGTAGGTTTGGATTTTTAACGAGTTCAACAGGATTGTAAAGAGGTTTTCTAATTTTTTTATGTGTATCGGGGACACTGATAGCATCAATTTACACCATTCTAATTTTCAATCAGACGTCTGTGGTTCTTGTTAAAGAGATTGTAAAGAGGTTTTCTTAATATTTATGTGTAGCAGTTTTGTGCCAGACTGGTTATTCTTACTCTTCTAGACACCTGATACCACTTTTCATTATGAAATACTTACTCACTTATAATTGATATACTTCCTCATGTGAAAAGTTTATTAGCTGCTACCAATGTTTCACCAATATGTTGTTTATGGATTGTGGGTTTTGTTTTGCTGTTCGGATCGTTAGTACTTGGTTTATTTATACATTAGCTGCTACCAATGTTTCACCAATATGTTGTTTTAGATTGTGGGTTTTGTTTTGCTGTTCGGATCGTTAGTACTTGGTTTATTTATTCATTAGCTGCTACCAATGTTTCACCAATATGTTGTTTATGGATTGTGGGTTTTGTTTTGCTGTTCGGATCGTTAGTACTTGGTTTATTTATTCATTAGCTGCTACCAATGTTTCACCAATATGTTGTTTATGGATTGTGGGTTTTGTTTTGCTGTTCGGATCGTTAGTACTTGGTTTATTTATTCATTAGCTGCTACCAATGTTTCACCAATATGTTGTTTATGGATTGTGGGTTTTGTTTTGCTGTTCGGATCGTTATTACTTGGTTTATTTATTCATTAACTGCTACCAATGTTTCACCAATATGTTGTTTTGGATTGTGGTTTTGTTTTGTGGTTTGGTTCGTTAGTACTTGGTTTATTTATTCATTAGCTGCTACCAATGTTTGGCCAATATGTTGTTTTAGATTGTGGGTTTTGTTTTGTGGTTTGGTTCGTTAGTACTTGGTTTATTTATTCATTAGCTGCTACCAATGTTTCACCAATATGTTGTTTTGGATTGTGGGTTTTATTTTGTTGTTCAGATCGTTAGTACTTGGTTTATTTATTCATTAGCTGCTACCAATGTTTCACCAATATGTTGTTTTGGATTGTGGGTTTTATTTTGTTGTTCAGATCGTTAGTACTTGGTTTATTTATTCATTAGCTGCTACCAATGTTTCACCAATGTTTCACCAATATGTTGTTTTAGATTGTGGGTTTTGTTTTGCTGTTCGGATCGTTAGTACTTGGTTTATTTATTCATTAGCTGCTACCAATGTTTTACCAATATGTTGTTTTAGATTGTGGGTTTTGTTTTGCTGTTCGGATTGTTAGTACTTGGTTTATTTATACATTAGCTGCTACCAATGTTTCACCAATATGTTGTTTTAGATTGTGGGTTTTGTTTTGCTGTTCGGATCGTTAGTACTTGGTTTATTTATTCATTAGCTGTTA